AAAAAAAAAAAATATATATTGAGGAGTCACTTAATGCCACAAATGACATTTTCTGTTGAAAGTGTGCAACTCTCTCTCTTTCTGCTTATAGGAGTGAATGGAGCTCACCCACCAGTCTCTTTCTTTCTTGCTTTCTTCAATCTATATTCTAGTAATCATTCAAAAAAGATATTTATATATTGTGATATATAAATTACATAGGTTTTGTATACTTATATAGTGTTCTAGATAGTCTAGAATCTTCTGTCTAGTTTTCACAATCCATGAAATAGAGTATTGTTTTCTTTTACGCATGCGCATATTTAATTAAAATTGTCGCATCAAAAAACATTGATTCAGTAATTACAAGTCCAAATGATTCTGGTTAATAAAAAATGGGAGTTTGCGCTTGGATATGTCTAGAAGCAGGAACTGGATCACCAAATCCTAGGCGTGGTCACGTGATCTGGGTGTTTTGACTCACGCTTCGGAGAAGCGTTTGGAAACATCCTCGCTTAAGAAGTTCAGCACAGTGTCGAAACGGCTGTTTCGAGCGTCATATCCCCTTGTTATGTTGTGTGTAGTGTCACCCTCGTCTTTGTTTTGTCCTCCCCTTTAGCTGTGTGCGCCCTGTCAACACACCAGAAATGGTCTCAGTGGAAAGATGGCTGTCAGGAAGCCCTTCTTAATCAAGGAATTAAAGAGAAAAGAATGACGTATGCCAATTTACACAAGAACTAGAGCAAAAATCATGAACCATCAGGTTTAGTGATTAATACGAACAGTTATTCATAGCGATGTGTAAAACACGGTGGAGACTTTGTCATGGTTTGGGGCTGCATTTCAGCCAGTGGTGTTGGGGATCTTGTCAAAACTGATAAAACTGTAAATGCATTAAAGTACAATCAGATTTTGATCCATCATGCAATACCATCTGGAAGGTGTTTGGCATTTTTCAGCATGACAATGATCCGTAACACTCTACCAATGCTGAACATTGGAACACTATCAGTGATGGACTGGCCTCTCCAGAGCTCGGACCTTAGCATTACTAAAGCAGTGTAGGATCATCTGGACAGAAAACAGAGTAAAAGGCAGCCAACATCCAAAGAAGAGCTTTGAATGCTCTTCGAGAAGCCTGGAGAAATATCCCTCAAGTTACTTAGTGTTCAAGCTAATTGCGTAGCCTTTAAAAAGATTTTTAACCCATTAACACTGACTTATTTACGGATGACTGCAGTAAGTAGTCATTTTTATACAACCAGCAAAAGTGCTGTATATGTTTTGACCAGCTGATGGCAGCATGTGACCATCTGTCACCCTCAAACTGAGACCGCTGTACTTTGACGGCTCTGTGTTGGTGTGTTATGGCTGCAGACAGATTAACAGACTGGTATTTGGGTAAATCATGCCCTTGGCTGAGCTTGCTTTCTTCTGATAAATCATCTGTGGATATCCTCATTTTCCAGCAAGCCACTATGAATGGCTCATTCATACACTACAGACGTTACTGCAGCCTGACAGTGGACCTGCAGTACAGTCAGAAGGTCATTAGAACAGGAAACATTGTTGCGGTCATCAGCTGATTGTGCATAAGCAAACATTTCCTTCCTGTTTCTCTGCAGGATCAGTCAGCAAAGCGCATGCATGTGTGTTATCCATTATATCCATATATCATGTTGAAAACAAATCTGTTTTAACCATTGAACAGTGTATTGCTTTTGCAACAAAAAGCAAGTATTAAAAATAGTTGAATCTAATGGGGAAGGTTTTTTCACTTGGGCTCAGGTGCAGCAGCGTGTATGTGGTTAGGAAAGAACATGTGCAACAAAAGCATTCAATCATATGTTCATGCGAACTTGATCTAGGCTGATTAGAAAGCACTTGGGAGTCCAAATCCACTTTGCTTGCACTTACACTGATTACACCCTCCTTTAAGGTAAGGCAGTAAAGTGGCTGTTAGCAGCAGCTGATTAGTTTTGCATTTACTGCATAACAGATTTATTCGCGTTGCATTTAATCACTCCGATTTGTAATACCTAAATAACTTAAAACACAAAGTTTGAAAAATACATATCAGATTCTATTCTTCAAACTTGCATTCTTTGTATTACATTTTTGTGACAAAGTGAAAATGTCTGTGCTTATTTGTTTATTCTTTCCTTGTCATTCTTCTCCGGTCTGTTTGCTGTTGTTGTTAACAGGACACTCTTTTGTTTTTAGTCATAACAGTTTACCTAATCCTTTGCTGGCGTCCCATTAGCAGCTTCCCAGAAACCAAAGACAATGGAGAGGCAAAAGGATGCCCTGGATAAACTATGAGAACAATCCATTAACTATAATGGGACTATTAACTTTACTTTGGCAGATGGAAAGCAAAAGGATGAAGACTTTTATTTTTATCCACAGGGCAAAAATCTAGAAATAAGTGTGATTTATATGTCCTACTGATGAGTTTAAGCAACAATTACATTATGAATGCTGCTGTGGCATTATGTTTCAGATGATCACGCAAATTTTAATATCCGAAAAATATATCCTGCGTAAATACATAGCTTTTAAATGATGATTTCATCAATCCCAACCTACCTGTCCCTTAATGATATCCCTCCAAGTTGTTAAATTGTGAAAGCTGAAGACAAAATCATGGAGACACATGGAGGCAGACATTAAATGCATAGCTGTATATGTATCTGTCATCTATCTGTAACTGAGTAAATACGATACACAGCTTAGAGCTAACTCAAAAGATTAACATAAGTTCAAAAACATAAAAAACACAAACCAAGCATCAAATTACTTTTGCTACCAAAACAGGCCTGACCCATCGAGGCATGGACTCCACCAGAGCCTTGAAGATGTGCTGTGGTATCTGGCACCAAGATGTTAGCAACAGATCCTTGTTTCTCCAGCACATGCCACAGATGCTCAATTGAATTGAAATCTGGGGAATTTGGATGGCAAGCCAACACCTCAAACTAATTGTTGTACTCCTCAAATCATTCCTGACCAATTTTTGCTTTGTGCCAGAGCGCATTATTCTGCTGAAAGAAGTCACAACCATCAGGGGAAACCTTGTAAGAGTGCACGTGGTCTGCAACAATGCTTAGGTTGGTAGAACATGTCAAAGTAGGGTCCATGTGGAAACAAGGATTCCAAGCAGAGCATCCCACTGCCTCAGAGAGCTTGTCTGCTTCCCATATTATACCCTGGCGCCAGGTATTCTCCCGGTAAGCAACACACACACACCTGGCCTTCCAAGGAAAAGCATGATTCCTCAGACCTGGCCACCTTCTTCCATGGTCACTCTGACTGGTCTGCTGGTATGCAGCCCCATATGCACCAAACTGTGATGCACTCTGTATTCTGGCACCTTTCTATCAGAACCAGCAGCACATGGTTCACCACCATTCCTTCCTTGGACCACTTTTGGTAGATACACTGACCACTGGAGACTGGGAACACCCCACCAGAGCTGCAGTTTTGGAGATGCTCGGACCCAGTCAATCGGCCTTGACAATTTAGCCCTCATCAAAGGCGCTCAAATCCTCACCCTTGCACATTTATCCTCCTTCTGTCGCATCAACTTTGAGGACAAAATGTTAACTTGATCCCTTTTATATCCCAAACACTAACTGACCAGTGAAAAGATATCTCTATAAAATGGCAAACACATCCACCTTATTGCACAAGAAAATAAAAATGGCAATGAGAGGTTTAAAAAGCACATGCAGACACATAGAAGAAAGTTCAGATAACAGGGGAAAAAAGCTAAACATTAACAAACATGACAGAGGAGATCCTACAAAGAAAAATAAAGCTAGAATCCACAGTCAAACCCCAGATTGTGACAGATGGCTATACTCAGTCTAAACACAGTGACTTTTCATGACTATGGAAAAAAAACTACCAGACGCAAAGCTGGCAGAGCCACAACCCTAATGTTTATATTATAACAATATCTTTACAAGATCACATCTCGTTGGCTCCCCCGACACGCCCACACAGGCGGCTAGCAGTCTGGCCTAAACACCGTTCTCATCTACAAAACTTCAAATTATCTGAAGCAGTGGGAACGTTTATATCTTCAAGTCTCCCCGTCGCCTGCCACCACCTTTACTGGTTCACCTATCACTCACGCAGTTTAATTTAGCTCTTTTTTTGTCTGCACCCGCCACGATGCCTCTGTATTGACTTTCGCACTGCGTCAGCCTCCCTCACCTCTTCATATGTTATGCAACGTCTTAAACTGTGCCATTCACAAGCTCAAATCATTCCTCCCAACTGATCCAAATCT